GCAGTAGATTATGTTATAATAAAGGTATTGTAAAAATTTCAAATTTAATCGATTCAAGAAGACAGGTATAGCCATTTCAAAAAATTCTATTTCGAGAAAAATGACAATCTGTAGTACGTATAAATGACAAAACTATATGTGACCTTTCATTTCTCACATGCAATATCGAGTCTCAAGTATGTGCATATTATTTCTAATTGTAAGAGTACAAAAAACATTTTAAGTTAAGGATTAAAAAAATCGATTGCTTTGACCGACCACAGTGGTGTTAGTCCTTAACGCCGAGCAAATGACTTTTGAAATTATGATCTTATAATCTATAAGATCGTGTTTGAAATCATCGTGAAACTCGTTCAAACAATTGGTGATCTGTGAAGTATATGAGCGATCGATGAACAATTGCGAGAGACTAAGCAATTGGAAGAAATGCGATACTACCGTGTAACGAACTATAGTGATGTGTATTTAGTTGTGTGCAAATGTTCTCGTAAAAGCCACCACGACGGTGTTTCGAGTACACAGGGACCGAGCTAACGATGACGCGCTAATAAAAGAAACACGTTAGATGAAACGCGAGTTGTAAGTATCTCTGAAGAATGCAAGTTATATGCGATGCAAATCTCACGAGACAGAGCTGGGGTACTCGTTTCGTACCTGTCCTCGTAATCCCACGTGTGCTTCCGTCGTCTAAATCAGGCAGAAGAAAACAATAAAACGTTTTTTTCTTCTTGTGTCACGCGATTCAAAATCAGAGTCGTGCAAATTAGCGAAATTCTGTCAAGATACGAAAAATACAAGTTTATAAAAATGAAACGTGAACTATTTTTGACAACACGACCTACTAATCACTTATTAATTTCCTTTGTTGTAGCAAAGTAAAAGAGAAAGAAGGAAAAGATGTAGATAGAAAAGGAGACTACTAATTGTAGGCATAATAACAAAAGAAGTATCTCTGTAAAAATTGTTATTTCTGGCTAGTATCGCGACATTACTTTATATCGAAGTGTGTATAGCTGTGTTTTAAGGCTCGGTAAATGTTAAATAATACCTGTATTCCTTATAGTGTCTTGGTCTACTATTGTAGAAGAGTGGCTCGGAAGATTCTGAAGCGTGCTGAGACTGAGAATACCTTTGCGGTGGACCTTCTTCGGGGTATGGTTCGTCGTATCGTGGACTATGGCTTGATCCACCGTAGCCTCCATAATTACTCGGGGCTAGCCTTCCTCCGACTGTAGCTGGAATCTATAAAAGAAATAAGCATGCAGTCCTCTCTTTCAAACAACTGTAATAATAATAACAAACACACTAATAACAATAATAAAACAACTGTAATCAAAATCCTATTCCCGAATGCATTATATTCTATCACCCACACACTTATACGAGAATTATTTTTTATATTTTCTACTCAGCTCGTTTACCCGTCACAAACCAAGCAATGGAATTGTTACGTACTTTTCAAACATTTCTACAAAAAATATAGAAGGAGAGCGTCTTAATTGCCACGGTAAACGTTTATTCAATTTCCCACAAATATTTGATACCTCAAGACTCTAAAGAAAATATACTTTTAATGAGGTTTCTTAAAAATAACAAGATCCTTGGTCGATATTGAAGATAGGGATAGAGAGTAATTCAATAGTTAGAAAGGTAATGAAATTTCGTCCTACGAATAAAGAATCGAAGACCTGGACATTATAAAACGAGATAATTCTAAACCCGATAATTAATAAACACGGATAGAAAGTATCGATTTGCAAAATACCTGATGATCGTCCCTCTCGTAGCTATTTTCTCTCGAGGTCTCGAGGGATCTTTGAGGGGTGGCCAATTGGTTAGCGGCGGTACGAAACTGCGAGGCTGAACTGTTTGCGCCCTGTCCTCCTACTGGATAATTCAGATCCGATGTGTAGTCTGAGTCTTCCGAGTAACCCGCTGAAAATGTAATTTAATTCATTGTTATTAGGCAGGTAGTACTTTTCATAGACAAACGCCAGATGCATCGCGCGTCGTATCAGTTGAGAGAAAAAACGGCACGACATAAATAAGCAAGTTCGTTGATGGTGCTGTTTTCAACATTTTCCTACAAACATCTTTCTCATCAGACAAAACATTGCTTTCCTAGAAAGAATCAAATTGTATGATCATAAGTGTGTGTGCGACAATAATGAGATAGATTTCTATTAAATAATTGCGAGATCGTTTCAATCGTGAGATCTTCCGAGACAGATTGAAAACGAACCACGATGAGTTTTCTTTCTATATGTGTACTTTTTTCGACACAGAGAAGAAATAAACCGTGATGCGGCGTAGCCGGGACATAAGAGATCATCGCAAGTGACAATCGGTTTCGTTTCTAATAGCAGCTCGCAGATCACAATAATTTCGAAAGTATTTCATCGAAATACAAAATTGGTCGATATTGTATATATTCCGTAATTAAAACTGTGCAAAACCAGGAAAACGGGAAATAGTTGACTTGTCCATTTCTTTATTTAATATTTTCGTCGCTAATGAGATTCCTAAATGAACCTCATCAACCAGAAAAGATTAAGAATAGATAAAATTTACAGTAGATTTCTCTATGCAAAACAGGAGGGAAAGAGGAAAAGGCTGATTTGAAAAATTGTATCATGCCAAGGATGTGACAATCATTAACATTACATTAAGCAAGAGATTTTTCCGTAAAGGGGGTTGCATTTTCAGGGGTAAATTACCGGCGATTCTCTCCGATGAACGATAACCACAAGAAGGAAGCTGTGGTTAATACCACGCGTGTACGGATTGCACAGAAATACGTATCCACTTGTACTGCCTAATGCAATCACAATCGCACTGCATCTAGCAATAACTACCTACATGTATGATCGGTGACCGTAGATGGAAAACAGGAAAGACTGCGCGACGCTGCAGTTGAATTTTTATAAATAAAACTGACAACGTAGTCTGAGCATTGTTACTGCGTTAAGCGAAAATACTACGTATAAGCGAATTTTAGTCAGAGCGAAAAAAAAAATAATAAACTTTGGAGTTTCTTCTAACGAATCAGGAAGAAAAATTTAAATAAAAATTGTTAAATTATAACATTTTGTTAGAGACAGCTATTTAAATATTGACTCGTTTGGTTAAAATTAAACTTGCTCCTGATTAAATATTTATGAAAACAATTTGCGTCCAAATAAATAGTTAACATATACGGATACAAACAATACCTCACCATTTGTATCACGGTTATATTGCAGACAAAAATTTTGCCATACACGGATGAATCAATAAACGCGAAATCATAAATATTCCAGCGTTATCCGCGTGCACATCAATAATTCACAGAAACAAACAGAGAATCGTTATAATAACAATAATTTAATCGTGACACTCGTGTCCGACGCACATATAGAACATCGACGGATACATGTACACATACATAAATTGTTCAATGTAAATCCATGCCCGACGCCGAAAGGAAAATGATACCAGCGTAGATGACGGCGCGTAACGAATTATAAATTATAACAATTGAGAGGCGAAGTTCAGAGAGTCGTTTCTCCTATCTAAGAGAAAAAGAAACAGAGAGAGACAGAGAGAGACAAACATAATGACAGATAAAGAGAAAGAGAGAGAGAAAGTATATTCAAATAAAACTGCAGCTACTTAGAATCAATGACTTGGCTTTATAGTACTTACAGTGTCCTATATTGTACAATATCTGTCGTCGTGCCTGTTCGGCTCGTGCTTCCTGGTCCATCATGTTGTTCAGCCTTTCCAGTTTCCTCTGCAGATCGGCTGCCTCCGTGTTCTCGGGGTCTTTCGGAAAGATAGACATTGGTTGGGGAAAATGGTTAATCGCGTGCATTGCTTCTACACCGTTTCTAATCCGTCGACATTTGTGAAAATAGAACCTCCCGTATACGATAAATCGTTATTACACAGCTACATATATCGTCTTACAATTCTGTTACTAAAACCGACATGTTCGTATAATTTATCAATATCAAATTCATTAAACACTTTTACCTTCATTACACGATTTTTAATATTCGATATTAATGAAATAATAAGATAAATATATTTTGTTGTGAAGTTATTGTAGAATATAAATGTTTAAAGCAAATTTTTACTTTGTTCATTACTGACTCCAAGTTTCAGGATAGGACGATTATAATGTATTGAAAAACTTATTATTGGGCTTAAGTAAATGAAGTTCGGCAGGAAAAAGTGATTGCTCTTCATTAAGGCCAACTGTACACGTCCGTCTTTTTTTAACGCGAGTCTAAAATACTATACATTTAATTAGATAATGTATATACATTTACCTAGAACGTAATTACCTCGTCGGATGTTTACTTATGTTGCGTTTGACGTTTAGCCCAATTTCCTAGATGAACGATCGACGTAATCGCATACACGTTCGCTAATACTTAATCAGCCAAGCAAAACCGTTATTTTTTTGGCTGAACCGTAATTCCGGTAATGCAAAAACACCGTACGTTAAAAAAAAAACAGATGTATTTAGCAGGCCTCAGCGATTTCATTAATACGGATACAGGAGGTTCCACCCTACAATTGGTTCTCTTCGTTCTCATTTATTATCTCTATCATTAAGCGGGTACGACGCTATGTTTCTCTAACGAGATCTCAATCAGGTATGAAAAACCGGGTGTTCTATAGGATAATACCGCCCCGAGTGCGGTAATATGCCGGCGTCTTAAAAGGAAACCCGTGTCATCGGGTTCTTTTGTACATCACACGCCTCCTCACGCTATTAAGAGTCGAGCGTACACGTTGCTTGAAAGTTATTCGCGAGCTAGCTATAAAAACCACAAATTTTGCGTTCAACAGTATTAATCATCGTCTAATAACGCTTCGTAGTTTATAGTGCCACATATGTATAAATTAGTGTAATTAAGAATGTATTGGCTATAAAGTCAATCCCAAAAGTTTATGTACCTTAGAAAAACGCATTTCCTATAATTAAAAAGAAATCAGACGTCGGAAGAATAATGCTAATAATAACTAGCTACGTGTTAAAAAGTATAGAAGGAAATATCCAATTAAGTATTGACGCTGACGAAAATTTTTTTCAAAATTGCGAAAAATGCTTCAAATAAAAGTTGTTTTCCTTCTAACTTTGATATTTAACGAGTTACGTATGATTATTTGGCATTTTGTTGATGTTGACAAAATCCGACCATCCCAGCGTCAAAACGGCGAACTTTTGGCAAAAAATTTCATTTTTCCTTAATTACTCCTAAACCGTTGAATCTACGGGAAAATTGTATAAGACCTTTCTTGTAGAGGACGACGAGATCTACAATTTCTGTATAAAAGTTTTTCGCTAGCGTCAATAGTTAATGAGTAATTTGCAAAAAACTGTTTTTTCNCTAAAATGCATAAACTTTTGGGATTGACTGTATAGCCAATACATCCTTAATTATGGTTTGAATTGATAGTAGATGACCATTTATTGTTTTTGAAGAAAACGTCTACTCACAGAAACATAAATAATATTTTGTTTCATTATTTATTGTTAATTAGAGACATATGTATTATTTATACAAATGTTGATTTCGAGTATCTATACGGTTGATTTATTGCAATTTATATAATGATTATGATCCATGATCTACCGTAGACAACTCTTAATCTTGACTATGAAGAACTTCAGTTTTTTTTGTGCAATTAGTAATCGTCAGATCTCAAAAGTGCGTGCTCATCAGTGTCTACTACATCGCGCCGCGTCGTTATATTGTCTTTCAATTTATCCGTATTCGGACCGCTGCACAGGCATTTTAAGCCGCGTAAATTGACTGCGGTCTTGCTCACTTCAGCGGTTTACTAATATCGCAGTTGAATGAAGCATAGCTGGCGTTGCGTCCTTTAGAGATACGCCCTCATAAACGCGCGTGTGCCGACTGGATTTACGTAGTGGCCGGGCGCACTGATTGAGGAGCTTAGGAACGATTTATTACGCAACCGACCTGACTGGCGGAAACCCTTTTGCACTGATGCACCGTCCTCCGAGTAACGGGATTCGTGATCTATACCTACGCAACCAACCCTTTCGTATCAAATTTAACCCCACCTTGTTCGTCCTCCATCCTCGTCTTATGCGTGTCGGAGTTGTAAACTTCAAGATGATCTATTTACGTCAAATAAAATAACGAAGCCAATGAAATTAAAACTACCTAGTGTGTACACTATTCATTAAATGTTAAAGTTGTAATCCTTCGTAAAAGCAATTTATATATAGATGAGTAAATTTAACTTTTTTGAGATAGAAGCAGTATTCTATGTCTACTAGATGTTCTAGATATTTATATAGCAAAATATACTTTTACTTGATGGGCTACAATACAACTGTGAAACATTTCAGCTCAATTTCAACACTTAATTACATTACATTACGCTTGTACTCACACAAAGTAATGACAATTAACCAATTACGAATAGTAAATAAACCTTAAATTTTTCACTCGGAATTAGTATTTTCATTAAATTATGCTAGAATAGTGCAACCCGATTTTCGTATCGTAAAAGTTCTAACGAGACTCCTATGCTTTCGATTTGGTTTACATTTGTAGATGACCCAATTCGTTTCTCCTTTTTTGTAGGCAGACTCTGCGTCAGGAAAGTAGCATGTGCAAGATTTATTCGGTCTATCTAGTTTTCCACTCGTGATCTGACAGCAGCTTATCGATTGCGAGCTATTTATATCGATTACGGGATATCTAACATTCCAAGAAGATCGAAACAAGTAGATTATTTAAAATTTCGTTTGTACTAACGGCAAGAAAATAAGACAAAAATAACCCAGCGTCAAGAAGATTTAGAGATTGTAGTATAATGTATCCTACAATTAGCAATGGAAATATATGGAAATTGTATCTTAAATTCTGGGAATAGGATTAAACCCGAAGTATGTTAATACGACGAATTTACTAGTCGAGAACTTGTTAATGGATTAGTGCGCAATTATTAATAGTTTACTTGGTGACTCCTTTCCGTAGAAAATTTCTACTGGAAATATGTCGCGCACGGTATGTACGTATATACATACCCATGCGTACATACATACGTATAACGTGTTTCGCTATGAAATGTGTGCCAGTCACGCGAATATTACTTTTATTGTTGGCATTCGGGGAGCTCGTATGTCATTCTACAAAATCGATAAAACGCTCATTCAAGAAACTTAGCGTTCCGCAAACCTAGATGCGAGATAATGATGAAATCGTGAAAAATGTACTCCATTATGTACATACAAATGTATGTAGACACGGAAGATTGAATATCACGATTATGCTTTGACTTATATGTATAAGCATACTCTCTTGAAAAGGGATATTGTATTACAATTATTGGTGTTCTTAATTACTGATAAAAGATATTTTTCACTTGAATAAATGTTAGATCAGTGCAAAAGTTCGTGCCTGATTTCTAAAAGTGAGTCAGATCTCATCGTAATTTGGAATAGATGTTCGTTTTAGCATTATTATCATCTTATTTTATATTTAACAAACTTATCAGAAGACAATTCCCTCATAAGTTTTCAACATCGACTGTTTAAGTTGATTTGTGCATAAAAACAGTTTTTCAATATGAAGGAAGGAAAATTCACTTTCACTGTGTTGTTATATAAGTTTCGGAAGAGCCTACAAAAACTGTTCTGTTCGTACAGATGTACTGTGCGCGTGCTCTCCAAAAAGTAAAAAAAAAAAACATTTTTTTTTCGAAAATAGTGAATTTGATCTGAGGGATCAATTTCGAATTGGTCGAGTCTCCAGTTTCCACAAAAAAACGATAGAATTCAGGAAAGTTTCCATAAAAAAAATCTCATGATAAAATTTAAATGATAACGTGTATTAAGTAATATCTTATTTCCGATCAGGCAGGAACTTGTCTAAAACTGTTCGATTCTTTCCATAATATTTTCACATTTTATTGCGAAGAAATGCATTCTACGTCCACTATTAGTATTCGACAGAAGCAGAAATTTGAAGCTGATTTTATGCATGTTAACACTGTTTCCAATTAACGTTTGACATCAACACCATAATCAGAAAACGAATATCCAAATAGTGAAAGGAATTAGCGAAACGAACCTAAACACCCTTAAGGTTACCTAACACTAGCCACAGGGATTATGTTCAACGCTAATGCGTTCTAATTCCGGCAAAATAATCGCCATGGCTTACCCTTAAATGCGATTAAGCAAACGAACTGTTAATGAACATTAAACAGGAGGACCACGAAAAGATCTTTCGCAAACTAGGAACGAAGGAGACCGTCGTAAGGGGTCGCGCTCTCTAATCCCCTGATTCTTCGCAAAAATCTCTCTCTGGTAATAATATTAGAAATGTAATACGCTTGGCACGAGCCCATTAAAGTCGGATTTGGAGGCGGGAACAGAAAGGTGAGACGGAAGAAAAATAAGGCGGCGCGGCGGCGGCGTAGGCAGAGGTAAGGGAGATTGGAATTGGAAAAGAAAAAGAGCGAGAAGGAAAAAAAGAGGAAACGAACCCGATGCTCTCGAGAGCGACACTGACCTACATATTTTGCATTCCACTATTTCCTTCTAACACCAGAACTGTGAGGCAATACATACACATAGTGGATTTCGCGGTTGTGTTCCGTAGTGTACTTATACTATCGTCCAGAAGTGTTCGGACAGCCTCGAGCTTTTAATAAAATAATCATTAACTTTTGCAAAATGCGAAAGAAATCACTTATAACTATAAGAATCTATTTCCGAAATCACTTTTGAAATGTGTACATTGTATGATACTTATTATGTATAACTATCA